TGATATTCATAGAATAGTTTTTCTAGATTTCAACGATTCTCCAGCATTTTACAATACTTAAAAATTGCGGCAAAGTTCTGTTAAAGTTCTAATAAGTTCTAAATTACAAAGAAGTCAAAATCATTGTCGAGCACAGCTCATTTATCCATCAGGTTCGAATTCTGATACTTTGTGTTATTTCAAATGAGAAAATATCGACATTTTCTGAATCAATAGTAACTAATTATCTAATAAATTAAGTCGATTTCATGTAAAATGTTTTGTGATCTTTATCAGACTTACGGATGTTTGACTCGATCGAACAGACAAATAACATAGTACTTTGTGAATTAAAAACAATGTTAAATAACTTCATAGATTATGTCATCCAAGTTTCGTTCAGATTAATGTAAATAAAATTTTTTTAGGTAGGGGCAACTTTTGACTAACAATGGAAGTGTTCCAACTGATAAATCATTTTTGGTTCGAGACTATGTATACTATGTCGACACAAATGAATTATGGATATCTTGAAAAGAGTTCGTGTCCGTAGCTTATTGCTACGAAGATACTACTTTTTTACACTACTTTTTAAATAAATATCATGTTCCTCCTCAAGACATTGGTTTTCAAATATCCTATCCTAAGATAAAAATATGATAATAACGTATCTTTTACGTCACTCATTGACATCATCCGATTTTATTTTCTTATATCAAGGTAGAAGCAAATCAAAAGATTTAACACTACTCTCGTTAAGGTTAGTCTCTATGCTAAATTCCAATTCAAAGTTCAAAAATCACTTTTTCCGAAGAGAATCACGGCATTTATTTAAAATATACTATAAAAAATACAGTCTCTCCGTAGTAATAACTTAAGCGTGCAAACTCTTTTCATAATAGTCACAGCTCATTTGTATCTACATAATGCATATAGTGTCCACTTCAAAAGCGATTAAACAGTTGGGGCACTTCTTTTGTGAACGTCATATCATTTTAAAATGTTCCACTGATCCTGCACCTATTGTTGATTATTTTCTTTTTGTCAAATAGTAAACTGTTAATGAAAAAGTGAAGTATTATCTGTCTCTTTGATAGTAGACATTGACAAACCAAAAGCTAAATACATTGTAAATTGCCGTCAATAATGACTGGCTTTTACAGAATGTTGTCTATACATGTCTTAACAGGCTAAGTTTTTTCATCAAGAATCATTTTTAGTTACATTTATACGAATGGCTATTATTTTCCGAGCCATGATTAATACTGATTCGTTAGGTTGATGAATACTAACGTCTTAGCCAATAAATATTAACATATATGCTATAAACTAGCAATTGCAATCGCAGTACGACAAAAAATAATCATCAGAATGTCAACATGATCGTTCATGGTACGTTTTCAAAAAAATTACTCAGTCATATATACAGGATGACAGAGTATAAGAAAATAAACACGTTTTTTTAGCAAATGATTGCTACGCACAACAAAAAGTTTTTTATAGTTTCATTTTTTGTGTTTAAAATGAATCTAAATGTAAAAATGTTTATTGACAATAAACGGTCACTATTTCCAATCTTGTAAAAAATAGGTGTTACCTACTACCATCGATTTAAACGTCATGTCATTCTAAGAAAAATATATCGATTATAAAAAAACACATTTAGTTTTTGTCTAAAAGTATTGTTATTTTCTTTACAATTTTCATTTTAAATAAAGTAATTATGTTATTAGAAAGAAAGAACGTGATCATATAGAATTTTATTTTTATTTTCTAAAAAAATAAAAAATTCAACTATAAAGTGTTGTGAATTAAAAATGTATTTCATACAATGAGAATCAAGTATGTTTAAGTTGAATTATAAGTTTATAAATGCATCAGAAAAATAAAATGCGTAATTAAAAGAATAATAGAATTATCTATGAAAGCATTGAGTGAAGATTTAATATAAGTAGTTTACCTAAAGAATATAAGATTATTTTGAAAATTTCTTTGTTTTTATAAAAGGATTTAATAAAATCTTTAATCAATCAACTATTCAGGAGAAGAAAAAGTCGAATAGTCCTTGAAAAAAAACAACATATCTCATTAGCAGATATAACAAGTAAGACATTGTAGTACATTTTATGAAATAAGTTGCTAAACTATATTATTTATATTAAATTTAAAGTTCGTTTATATTGTGAAAATCAATTTGATTAGTGATTTATCATATTTCTTTACAAACGCGAACACACATTACAAATACTATGTTGCCTTGATTGACAAATCAATAAAAATTAGATACAGAAGTCGTCTGAAATAGTAGCAGAATGTTCGAGTGTATTTCTATATGTTTTCTAGTTTCAAAATCAAATCAAGAAAATAAATCGTTTTTCGGAAGAAAAATATCTCAAGAAAACGACAAGTCATTCAAGCAAACAATTACAACGAGAATAATTCATCGTTCTTGAACACATTCATTTTAATAGTTATATATATAGAAGTGTATCATATTTGAAAAATTAAAGTCTTTTAATGAATGCTATTAAAGCTTTAAGGACATTTTTCAAGTTTTCATTTTGTTTTCTTGACGAAAGCTTAAGCAGTATCTTTTATTTCTGCACGGAACACATCATCATTTAGAAATCCAAACTCATTAGTCTTTCTTTATAAATATTTTTTCTGCGTCACTATTTAACAAATAAATATAAACATAAATTTAATTGTCATCTGATCATTTCTAATGACTAGTAAAAGTAACATTATTCGGTTGTGCTTCATTGATACGAGATAAAAACCTCAACAAAGAATGTGAAAAAAAAGATTTCTTCTTTGAAAAAAATGAATGTTTCTTCTTAAAAGTTGAGGGCAACTTCATTATATTACGTTTATTATTATATATGCGTTTACAAAGATAAAAAAAAGTAATAAAGTAGCATCACGCAAAAAAATTCTCATAAGAAAATGATAAGACATAAGATAAACTTTAGAAAAAAAATCCTTTTTCATTAACTTCTTCATTACAAGCTATCAATTGAATCGAATGACATGACAGAAGATGAGTCTGTGCAATTTTATTTTAATAGCCTTATCTCATGTGAATATGTATGATTGAGCATTAAAGTCTTTTATGCTGAGGATTTCATTAATGTATTCTCATTTTATTGTATGTGATTCGGATGATTTCAACCATTATAATGCCTAAACTTACAGCAAGGAAGAGCCATTGTTGCTTATGTGTTTAAAGCAAGACTTTATAATAATCTAAAAATTATTATTTCCAGTAAATTTACTTAGAACTTCGTTTTTAGAGACTGCGCATGCATGCGTTTATTAACGATGAATTGCATTTTTTTTCCTTATTACTGATTGAAGAAGATTAAAGTATAACAGCCGCCGTTAAGACTTATGTTTAATTTATATTGAATAATTTGTAAATTCTTATTTGAAAACCTTAAGTTTTCTTGATATTTTTGTTTCTTGTCTTTATTTTTTCTATTCTATTAAAATAGACTTTCGGTGATGAACAAAGGGAATTATTCTTTTGATATAATACGAGAAATTGATCGTTAATTTATAAATATGTTTATATTATGAATAAAAAATGTCGAAATGGGAAAAAGAAAATCACGTCAATCTTTCTCTCTCATATTTTTTTAATCGATTCTTTCTGTTGTAACATTATTTCTAACGTATTTTATTTGAATGCTGACATGACTATGACAGATTTTAATCAACACCTTCTTTTACGTATGTTTTTACTATTTATATTCATGTTGTTAGTGTAAAATTCGTTTGAAATAATAAGATTTGTATATACAGCTATTTCATCATCATCATCAATTTCCTTAGCGTGTCATTGAACTAAATGTAAAGAAGAAAGCTAAGCTAAGAACGAAGAAGAGAAAAAAAAATATTGTAGATCGATTTTTCTCGCTTCTATATATATCTATGTGAATGTAATAGAGAGACATAAAACATCAGACTCGCATTTTTTCTCGTCTTTGTCTCATTGCGACGTAAGTAAAAAAGAATTCTGGAAACAATATAATAATATAATAACAAAAACACATTTAATTAGTTTCTTAATTTTGTCTAGATTAAATTAAATTTCACATTATATTGTATTTACAATAGTCTAAATCCAATGTTGGCATTATTCACATCGAATAAGATCTCACTAGCCATGGTTCAGCTCAGCATCCTATTATTTGGTCTTCTTAGTAAGTAATCATAAGATAATTTTCAAATAATTTTTTTTCTCTTCATTTTTATTTCTAATAACTTGATTGTCATTATTCATTATAGAATCATTTATTAAGTTTTTACATATTTTGAATAAGACAAAAAAATAAAAACTGTCAAAAAAGTATAACCTTTATTTTAGACATAGACATTCAAGGGAAACAATGACAATGCCATTGAAGAAATAACTGATATGCTTTTTATTAAAAAAGACAATTTCATAATATTCTTTTAACTAGATTCATAGAAAATTTGCTTATATTAGCAAACTGCACAACGCAGCAGATATCTACGTAGGTGTTCACCACTGCCTCAGACTTGCAGCAATAGACATCTCTACTATATGCATATATAGCTAACAGATGCAATTGTAATATCATGAAACTTATTGTTTAGTAATACTAAATTAGTCTACTAATATATCTCATGTGGTAGATACATTAGTTTAGTTCGTTAAGTTCTTTTTATTTGATAAGATGACGTTATTGATAAAATTTAACGTACTTGATGAGAGAGGTTTTACGCTAGAATAAATAGCTCAGTTGTTTACATAATCATTTTACATTCTATTATGAAGAAAATAAGCAGACTTTTTTTCATAATAACATCAGATAAAGAAAATAATCTTTGCTTCTAATTTATTTGACAGACAGGGCGTTTTTAATGCGTCAAGAACATTAACAAAAAATATGCAATTAACATTAAAGAAACAGAGTGCGTTGATAAAAACAAGAGTAGATAGTTTTAATGTTAAAATCTAAATTTTCGTTTCTATTTGAATATCATTGAGAAACATGCTTTTTGGTACATGTAAATAAATATATTATGTCAGATTATTGAAGTTCACTTTACCCTCAAGTTACATTAGATAAGCAGCAGATGTCATGGAGATCATTATTGAATTTTATTAATTGAGAGCTTGTCTTTTCTTTTAAAATGATAGGCAGATGTCAGATTTAAATTAATTTGTAATAAATAATAAAATATTATATGTCAGCTAAGTTTTTCTTAATTTATAAAATAATAATGAATGAAGTTGTTTTGTTTTGTTTTATTTTATTTTATTCTTTTAAAACAAGACTAAACATTATGAAAACAGACAATTTCGATCTCATATATTGAAGATATTTATTATAATATCGTTCTACATCGTTTATATCTTAAGGCATACTCATCTATCTTATTAATTATATCAAATTGTATTATAATTTATTTTCTCTTAGGAAATATAATATCTTCTCGAATAGTTGTCTTATTTTCAAATATTAAATTCAATGTCGTTCTATTTTAGTCATTGGTAATTGGGCAGCACCAGCCTCTGATGAGCTGCAAGAAATATACGTTGACACATGTCAATTAAGCTGTGGTCTAGTTACTAATAATCACGAAGCAGACGAATGTCGTCAAAAGTTTTGTCCTAATTATGTTCATTATTTATTAACAGGTTTTACACTATCGGATTCAGCACCTAGTATTGCATCAAATGATAAAAAAGAAGTGGCAAAATTTTGCGCTACATGGATGGTTCATTTACTTCAAGAACTTGGCTGGAACCGACGTATTCGTCTGAATCTCAAAGAATGTAATTGTGCTGGTGGCACCGATTGTCTTATTCAATAGAAAAAAAAACAGAACATGAAGAACAATCATTCAATCATATACAAAATATCTACATCAAAAAACTATATACATTTAAATTTAAATTTTTTGATTCATTTGAATTATTTTGTCCATTATAAATTGATACATGCAAAACAAAATAAAGAAAGAAAATTACTATAAATATATTACGACATCTTTTTGAAATTTAAGTTAAATAAATTTTTCTTTTTGTGCACTTCTCTGTCATTTTATATTTCAATATATTTACCAATTAACAATTGATCCGTTGTTATGGTGATTCATCATTGGTATCGTTTGTCTCTCTATAGATATATATCTTTCTCATTGTTTAAGAAATAGTTCTATATATAATAGTGAAATAAAGATGAAAATTGAAGAAGTTAAGAGTACAACAAAAACACAACGTATATCAGCTCATAGTCATATTAAAGGATTAGGTTTAGATGATGAACAACGTGCTATACGTAATGCTGGTGGTCTTGTTGGTCAAGAACAAGCACGTGAAGTCTGTGTTCTTTTTCTTTTCTTGTTGTAAGTTTAGTTGTGAATATTATTTTATAGGCAGCTGGTATTGTTGTTGAATTAATTCGTCGGAAAAAAATGGCTGGTCGAGCTGTTCTTTTAGCTGGACCACCAGGAACTGGAAAAAGTATTTGTTGCTAAATTTTGTTTTATTCGAAATAGAAATATCTAAAAAGAAAGATGAAGAAACAAAATTGATTAGGATATTACAGATATGATGTAATCGATTTATCATATTTCTCTTTTCAATATTGTGGAATGTGCATTGACACTATTTCTATTCTCTTGAGTAAAATAGAAAACATCGTAGAATATGGAAATATTAAAATTATTTGTTAAAATTTGCTTAGAGACAATTCTATATGCATCGAATTAAAGCGATTATGATTAATGTGAACTGTATGGCCTACAAAAACTTGTTCTAAAGAATTTAGTGTTAATTTTTCTCATTTATATTTTGATTCTAATAAAGAAGACTTCGCATGAAATCATAATTAAAGACTAGATCCAGTTTCAACAGAATTTTATATCGAACTTTTGATGAATATTTGTAAAAACAACCTTAATTCGAAAGTAATATTAAAATTGGTATCTATATTCCATATTTTTAGCCACATCCTTAAATATTGAGTCTTTTTAAATTAGTTAGTGAGCGTATAATAAAAAATATACTGAGCTATTAAATACAAGGCAAATACTGTTCTACGAATTAATAAAAAAAAATTCTTCTTCCTGAATGTGTTTTTTCAACGGAATATGATAGTTAACATTTTGTATTCTCACATAAGCAGAAAAGGTGTAGTATTACTTTTTTGTAGTTGTTTTCTATTTGTGTCACATCATCTCTTTAATCAAAAAAACATTAGTTAAGCACGTTCTTAAAGATGATAACATTTTTCTTCCGCAGAATTTATATTAACATGATAGAAGGATGGAGATTTCGTATCTTTATATTTACATAGCATGTTTAATAAAATTTTGGTACAGAATACTAAATGTCTTGGAAAATTAAATCGTTCGAATGCAAGAAATTTTTCTAGTCTTGTATATAAATATTGTAATATAAATATATATTTGTACATATTCAATTAGTTTTAATCACGAATTCTTAATTTAGCTGCTCTTGCATTGGCTATTGCTCATGAACTTGGTTCTCGTGTACCATTTTGTCCAATGGTTGGTAGTGAAGTATATTCAACTGAGATTAAAAAAACCGAAGTATTAATGGAAAATTTTCGTCGTGCTATTGGATTACGAATAAAAGAAGTCAAAGAAGTCTATGAAGGTGAAGTTACAGAAATGACACCAACAGAAACTGAAAATAGTTATGGTGGTAAGATATATAACATAGTTTTATTATTTTTGGTTAAAATTTTTTTGAAATAACTATAGGTTATGGTAAAACTGTCAGTCATGTTATTATTGGTTTACGTACAGTAAAAGGTGCTAAACAACTAAAACTTGATCCATCAATTTATGAAACATTACAAAAAGAAAAAATTGAAATAGGTGATGTAATTTATATTGAAGCTAATTCAGGAGCTGTTAAAGTATATAAAAAAACAGCATTTGTTAGAAATAAGAAAACTTTGTTTATTATTTTCTAGAGACAAGGTCGATGTGATGCTTATGCAACAGAATATGATCTTGAAACAGAAGACTATGTACCATTACCAAAAGGTGACGTACACAAGAAAAAAGAAGTTGTACAAGATGTAACATTACACGACTTGGATGTTGCTAATGCAAGACCACAAGGTGGACAAGATATTTTATCAATTATGGGTTCATTGATAAAACCAAAACAAACTGAAATAACGGGTAAAAATCATTCATACTATTTGTCTTCTCTCTTTTTTTGTTGCCATTCTTTCAATAATATTTTAAGATAAACTTCGTCGAGAAATCAATAAAGTTGTTAATAAATATATTGATCAAGGTATAGCTGAACTTGTACCTGGTGTTTTATTTGTTGATGAAGTTCATATGTTGGATATTGAATGTTTTACTTATTTACATCGAGCATTAGAAAGTCCACTTGCGCCTATTGTTATATTTGCAACAAATCGTGGACGTTGTCAAATACGGTATGTTAAATGATTCTTGGTTGTAATTATTTTGATATAACATTAAATTGTATTAGTGGTACAGAAATTCTTTCACCACATGGTATGCCACTTGATTTACTTGATCGTATTATGATTATTCGTACACTTCCTTATGGAATGGAAGATATGATTGAAGTCACTGTTTTCTTTTTTTTGGAGGTTTTAAATTAATATTTTAATCATTTAGATTCTTCGAATACGTGCAAAAGTTGAACATACAGATATAAATGATGAGTCTTTACAAACACTTGCCGAAATAGGAAACGTATCAACATTAAGGTAGAAAAGATTTTCTTTGGCCTTTGTTTTTAAAGCTTTTTCTTTTAGATATGCTGTACAATTAATGACATCAGCTAATATTCTTGCTCGTATAAATGGGAAAGATCAAATAGAAAAAGAAGAAATTGATGAAGTACAAGATTTGTTTCTTGATGCAAAATCTTCAGCACATTTACTCAAACAAGAAGATGCAAAATATATGAAATAATGCACTATGCAAGTTTTTCTTTGTTAAATTTTTAATTTGTTATGTTCTACACAAACTAGGCAATTATCTTTTTCTTTTCACAAAAATAAAAACAAAATAACAATTATTGATAATCATAGTAAGATCATTGATTGACACTTGATGGAAGAAATTCATGTTGGAAAGAGTAATTGTATTTTGGGATATTTTTAGCACGGAAATGAACTTTTCTCTTGTCTATTGTAAGATCATGACAGATGAGAATGGTTTCTATGAAACGAATGAGGCTAATTTATTCTCGATAGAAAGTTCAGCTTTGTTTTCCATTGCAAAATTCTACATAAAATCGCTAAAGACAAAAAAAAGAAGATTAATAAAGATTTTAATTTGCTCAGATTCCAAATGTTAGTGTGAGTTTCTTTATTTATCCATAATACTTTTTTGTTTCTACTTTGATGTCATCATGACTAATTAACAAGTTTAACAGTATTCTAATTATAATGATATAAAATTTATTGGGTTTTATACTTGCTATAGAGAGAATTTTAAATATGTGTGTGTTCTATTCATCTACACATAATGATAAACTGATTGGCTACCAGTGTCTGAAACGATAGCACCATCTATCAATCAGTCAATGTCAGCTCTATAACCTAAGATTTCAACTTCTATTGAGACAAAAGATTTCTTCTTCTTATATTTTATTTTATATACGACTGTTACCGATCAGAATGATTTTTCATTGCTAACCTTACAATAATTTTGATCAGTGTCGCAGCAACAGAATTTGCAACATAGTAGTTTCTTGCTATGTACTAAAACATAAAATACGCAAATGATGCACATAGCTATCCCGTACTGAAGGCCTGCAAGTAGCATGACATAGCACGATCTTTTTTAGTACGTATGACTCTGGGACTGTTTAGAAGCCTGTTCATGCTACATTGCTTTAGTCTTTCGTATGAAGCCATTAACTATACCTCAGTTATGGGTATTAAATCATTTAAAAACCTAGAATTATAGCAAAGTTGTTTTTGAATACTGGACTTTCGATAATCTAAAAAGAGACACGTAATGCGACCGATTTTATCGAGTTGTCTAGAAAAGGTTCTATGAGTCATGTTTATAAAATAGATAGTTTATTTAGGATAATTCCAGGAACCAAGGAAGTCTCAACTATTTTGTGAATATTTTCAGTCAGTTCTACTAATGTGTACATTAATTTGCATCTGTATCCATATGATTGCAATCATGTTTTCTTTCATATTTACGCCTTATGATAGAGTAGAATCAATGCAATTAGTCAGATGTTGTCTAAAATACATAGTAATACTTTGAGATATGAGCTTTGGACGCTTCCTAAACGATGATTTTGTAAGAACCTGCACAAACTTGCACTAGGTATTGTCAGGTGAAGTTTGAAGTCTTTTTCAAGTGTTAAAACACTTATATGGCAACCATTCTAGGCCTTTGCTAATTGAGTTAGTGGATTAGAAAGAAGTATGAATACTTTTTGTTGTAGTTTCATGCTCATATGATTTTCTTTTGATTTGTCTTTAATATATTAAAAAATTCTTCTTTGGCTAACTAGAGAACACATTCAATGGTTGGACACAGTTCGGCCTTGCATTAAGGCTATGAATAGATCTTGATGAAACTAAAAAACGTTTAAAATAATTCGTGCCCATGGCATATACTACTGAAAAGTTATGGCTGTATTAATGAAATTTTCATTGACGGCAAGATTTTTACAACAAAATAAAAAATAAAAAGATTCAAGCTGGAGTTATGTCTATAGGTGCGTTTGATAGTCATTAGATTGTTCTGAAAATTTCAACGAAAACCAACATGTCTTTCTCGAGATATTCATTTTCTCAGTAGACTCGATTACCATGTTCTCC